TTTTGATTTTCTGTTTATATTTCGTTGTTATTTCGTCACCAGCATGGAAACCCATAAAGCCCATGTTCATTTTTTTCAAATTTCAAATTCATTTTTTGTGCTTATTTCTGAGCCTATTTTAGTTTTTAAAGGGATTCTGCACACCTACAGAAAAATATCTTTCTAACAGTATGCGAAGATTTTTCCTGCGATGCACACGAGCTGAGAAAAAAGGTTTTAAAGAAACATGCTTGCCTATTAATATATAGATAGATACCATGCTATTGTAGGCGGCCAGTTTATGTGATACGGGGTGGTAAGACGTGCTGTGAATGGTTTGGTTTGACGTGGTAGGCTTTCTATATATGCTAAAATCTAATCTGTTATCTATCTTTTCTATTGTGATATCCAAGAAATTTATTTTATTTGATTGTTCAGTTTCCATGGTAAATTTTAAATTAGGCGTTATATTGTTGAGGAACTTGTGTAGAAGGTCAAGCTGTCTAGTGTTACCCTTGAAAATAAGAATTGTGTCATCAACATAACGGTGATATTCCGTTATCTTGTTTTTTTGTTTGTTCAGGTCTGAAAATATATATTTATTTTCAATATGGTTCAGATATACGTTGGCGAGTAAACTTGATAAGGGAGAGCCCATTGCCAGGCCATTTGGTTGACTGTAATATTTATCATTGAATTTGAAATAATTTTGTTTGAGTGCTTCTTTTAACAAAGTTAGTAGTTCGGTAATTGCTTCAGGTAGTAAATTCGAATCTTTGTTCAGGTGGTCTTTGACCATGTCTAGAGTTTGGTCAACAGGAACATTAGTAAAGAGATTGACAATGTCAAATGAAACTAGTAAATCATGAGGGTTTACCTGTACATTTTTGGCTTTGTTAATAAAATCATAGGTGTTGATAAGTCTGTAATTATTATGTAGAACTATTTGTTGGCTTAATATAGATTCAAGTTTCTGAGCGAGTTTGTATGTTGGGGCTGACGTGTAATCGACCAGTGGTCTTATTGGGGTGCCTTCCTTATGCACTTTAGGCAACCCTCTTAACATTGGTGCGTTGGGGTTCATTACACGAAGGCGTTTTATTTCCTCTTCACTGAAAAGAACTTTGCTATTGTTTATAAGCTTCCTTATTGTCTTTTGATAATTGTTAGTAGGATCTTTTTTCAATTCTATTACACCATTACTCTGAATAAAATCATTTACTTTGGTATTATAATCATCTATGTACATTAATACTGCTGTATTGCCCTTATCAGCTTTGCATAACAAGGCGTTATTTAAACATAACTTCTCTTTTATACTAATTAGAGCTAATGTCTCCTTCTTATGTATGTTAACTGAGTGTGAGGTTGATTTTGCATTCTCATGTGTCCTGTTTAATTTATTAGTTACTATCACACGAGCGGAGTTTCGGCTATCTTCATCTGGGATGGCTTTAATTGCACATTCAGCATTAATAAAGTCGTCAAACTGTGCTTTTTTGCCTACTTTGGGAAGGTTATATTTTAATCCTTTTTCTAACACGGAAACTTCATCAGTGTCTAATATTATATCAGTATTGTTTATTAATCGAGGATAGAACTCAAAATCGTGCAGGATTGCTGTTTCTTTATGTTTTTGTTCATTAATTAGCCTAGAAAACTTTTTTTGGAGAGTGGACTTTTTAGACTTCATAATTTTAGTGATAGAAAGTTCGATTTTATCCAACATTTCTTCAAGAATAATCTTGTGCGTGCAGTTTGAGAACTCTAGGTATTTTCTTAGCATGAGCCTATTTAACATATCTTTCTTCCGATATAAAAACTTTATTTCATTTCTAATCCATAACTTTTCTGCCTGTTCTAAAGTTTTCTTAGCTGATAAGGATTTGTTTCTAACCTTTATTTGGACATAGTTAGGTTTTAATCCATGACGAAGGCAGTCCTTATTAAACTTTATGTTCTGAACCGTGTTGTGTAGTTTCAGTTTGATGTTCTTGTATTGTGTGGCTAATGTTGCTTGACTAGCGTATGAATCAATAGACATGGTTTAGCCCCTGAGCTGAATTGATGACTAATATAATATAAATACCTCGTCACAGCTCTGTAGTTTCTGTAGATTACAGCTGTTTCGGCATTATAATGCCATCATCAGATACACACATCCACCTGAATTGGCGTCGTTAAACTGTACATAAACACGAACACGATAAAAACACAAAAACACGTAAAACAAGAGACAAGTCAGCTTCCGTACTCGTAGCAATCATGTACGCGACAGGCCTGCCTCTTGTTTTACGTGTTTTTGTGTTTTTATCGTGTTCGTGTTTATGTACAGTTTAACGACGCCAATTCAGGTGGATGTGTGTATCTGATGATGGCATTATAATGCCGAAACAGCTGTAATCTACAGAAACTACAGAGCTGTGACGAGGTATTTATATTATATTAGAAATTAAGGGTACGAGCCTTGGCGAGTGTCTCATAAAATTTTGTTCACAAATTAAAACGATTATAATTTGTTTACTGCATGTTTTATCATTTACTCAGTGCAGCTTTCAATCTGTATACAAGGGTGTTTTTTTTCAGTATAGGCCGTTTTTTGGTATAGATCCGTTGTTCGCTTGTCCTCTGTAGTTGACATGTACGCTTCGCTGTGTGTTGTTAAAATGTTTTAAACTTTCGAATCTCCCGCCACGTGCGAGATTAGGTCAGTGATACGTTTTTTGATTGCAAGAAACATTTGATGCCGATATTCATCACCAGATATGACTGAAGGCTATGGCCCTAATGCAATGAGTCAGGGTTAAGTGTGGAAATGGTTTAAGAAGTGTAAAAATTGCTGTGAAATCCTTTTCCTTTGAGGTCTTCTGTGAGAATTCTGGGTGCCCTCCAAAAACACAATTCCTTCCCAAATGAACATTTTTACGGCCATTTAAAAAATCCCTAGCCTCCCTAGTGGAAGACATCAATAGAAATCAATAGAAAAAATCTATTGATATCACTAGATGCTTAGTGATATCAATAGATGTTCATGGATATCATTACAAGTAAATACAAACAAATAGACATCACTGAAAACTTAGTCAATACATATCACTAGACATCTATAAACATAAAATATATCAATATAGATCATTAGAGCAAACAAATCGTTCATTGATATCAATAGAGAATATTTTTTAAATGTGTTAGATGTAAATATAAATCAATAGACATCAATACGGGTAAATACAATTCAAATTATCTCTAAAATGTATCACATATGAGCATTATGGATTATACAAAATATCAATGTAAAGTGGTTAAATAAACAGTAATAAAAATGTTATTTTTTGAAAAAAGGAAAAACTCTAGTTTTAGGTCATAGACGTTAGCTGAGGTACCTAAAACTCAATATAATTTAAAAATATATCATTTTAAAATTGTTGTAAAACAGTTACAACTTGTATTAAATCTTATTTTTTAAACTGCCAAAAACTGATTGCTAAACAATTTTAAAATTGTTGTAAAACAGTTTACAACTTGTATTAAAACTAATTTTCTTAAACTTCAAAAAACTTATTGTAAAACAATTTTAAAATTGTTGTAAAACAATTACAGCTCGTATTGAAACTTATTTTTTCAACTGCAAAAAACTTATTGTTAAACATTTTTAAAATTTTTTCAATCTTATATCAACAAATGATTTAAAATTGTTATACAACAATTGTAATACAGCTTTCGACAACTTTTAACAATTTCTTTCTTAATGGGTTATTGTTAGGGATAAAATTCACTTACAAATTCATTATTGAATTCCTTATTTCTAGAAATCAATAAAAAAAATTGTATTGACACTATTCACATCACCCAAGTAGCAAGAAAACAGTTTGAACTGGTAATAAAACAGTTTTGAAACATGTTAAAGCATAGATACATGCTTGAAATGACACAAATGCCATTGAAAAATCTTTTTTAAGTTAAATTATGAGGCCTAACACAGCTTCTCGCATTCAAAATGGCTATCATTACTTAGTCAGACATGAAGCGTCCGTGGTGTAATGGCTTAGTCAACTGTCTACCATGCTGGAGTCCCAGGTTCAATTCTCGGAATAGTCAGGAGATTTTTGCCAAGAATTTTATTACTTTTTCATTTTTATTTTATGTTTAGTGCATAGTAGATATGGTTCAATGTGTTGAAACAAATTAAAAATTGTTTTTTTACAAGCTACAAATTATTTTCAATTAAGCTAATGACTCGGATCCTATTTACTTGTATTGATATGTATTGATGTGTATTGATGTGTATTGGCCCAAATACACCTACGTATTGATATATTTGTATTGATTTGTATCATATTTTGTATTGATATATATTGATCTCTTCCACAAGGGCTATTTATGCACTTTCCCAGCTATCATTGCAACAGGGTATTAATTTCAGTTATCTGGCGATCATTGTCAGCATTGGATATGTTTCATGTGGTAGAAAATGTATCACTGATCTTATTTCGCACGTGGCGGAAGATTCGATAGTTTAATTTTTTTTTTAATACACAGCAAAGTGTACTTGTCAGCTACAGAGGTGCAAATTGCGTCATTCTGTTCACAAATGATGCCACTAAGTGGCGAGGAGCCTCGTTGCGGCGTACTAGCGAACTACAGATTTATACACAAAAAATGGCTCTTACTTAAAAAACCACCCTCGTAATTTAGTCATGGAGCACTAAGTTTTACCTAAAATCATTGATACAACTAGACATTCCATCCCTATGTTAAAAGTGTTGCCAGTTTTTTATCAAAATTGTCATAGTTGATGTGAGCCACCGACAGTTGTTGTGCTGAACTTGGTCAGCAACACAAAAAAAGGTACCGAAAAGAATCTTAGACACTAGCCTATTCTGTGACTGGCTCACACAACTAGGTTCTTTTTAATAAAAACAATTGGCGACAGCTGGTTTATATAGATGGGATGTCTACTTCAGTATCCAATAGTCAATCGTTTAATTCCACACACATGGTAAAACAACTTATCTTTTCAGAGAGACAACATACTAGACTCAAAATATGACTTGGTGTGTCAAGATGGCAGAAATAGTTGTGAAAAGAATCAAACACCTAACTTGACAGAAAAGGACCATGAAAACAGAAGATACTATCACAAAGAAATAAGTCAAACTGACAAAGAAGAAGAAGTTTTTGCAACCTATAACTCTTCAGATAGAGGAATAAACAGCTACTATTGTAAAAACGATGATGAAAAGCTGCTTTTTGTTGACAAAACTAATATTGACCGGCAATGTAAACAAGACCAGCATAATGAAGTTGATATTAATATGTGTCAAGATCAGCCTGGTTACCATATCTATTTAGACCATCATAAATATCAAAGGAAGGATTATGCAATAGCTAAGACTGAAAATCACTCAGAGGAAAGTTATAGTTGTCGCCCCAATGGGAATGATAAAACTTTAAACCAGTCTGATGAAGCATCAACCATTCCAAATGAAACTCATGTTAATACTGACAGCAAGAGCTATATTCAAATGAAAAACCTCTCTGTTGATGTGCAAGACTCGTGTGACAGGAAATATGAGTACCCAAAAGACAGCCCCAATGCCGACCAAATAAATCACATGTGTTCTCAAAAAGATGAAATTTGTGATATAAGAGATTATACCTGTAACATTTCTGGAAAAGATCATCTACCGAGACATGAGGAAGGATGTGGTTGTAATGATTGCAGGAGTCATTGCCACGATGAGTACTACCAGTATGAAATGCAAGATGAGAATATCTATAGAACTGAAGAACACCAACCCCAAGATCAGACTTGCAGAGATTACCAACTAGGTACAGAGCATGAGCACTGCTATAACAAGAGCTACAATCACTCTGAAAATGAATATTATGCAGGACAAAATTATCGCTATCATCAAACTGTATTACAAAACAAAGAAGATCGTCACACTAATAATTGCAGTCCATTAGCTCAGGGAGGAAATCTGCATGTGGATGAAGTAGACCTTACCTTCGGAAAAGAAGAAACTTCAGCTGTCGACCTAAGGGTTTTGAGGCCATTAAGATACTATACTGAATCAACCCAAATACAGGAGTCTTATAGGGACCAAGAACCCATGACTGTTTCAGACATGTTGAATGATTCCCACATTACTCACTACACCAGAGAGGATGCCTCCTTAAATGCAACAAGTATCAAGCATGACTATGTCCCTCATCCCACTTTCTATAGGGAAGATTATAAAAATGCTTCAGACGAACCGAGTGAGTTTAAAATTGATGATGGGATTTGTGAGACAATGGATGAGGATAATAACAATCAATGGGATGCAGCAACAAATACAGAACACATAAAAGTTGAGGATAAGGGATCCCAAACGGGGATTATAGAAACAAGAGAGGTTGCTGTTCAGACTGATATTAAGAATGCCATAATACCTCTTACATTCTTTAAAAACATAGAGAAAAAGATAGCTAACTACACATGTCACATATGCCACCGGGTTTACATTTCTAAACCCAGTTTTGAACGTCATCTTAGAACACACAAGAAAGAGCAAAATAATGTCTTTGCTGATGTCAAATTAACAACTGAAACTAAACTTCAAATTTGTAAACGAAGCAGCAACCCCAAAAACTTAAATACTCAGAAACCTATCATTATACATGTACCCAGATCAATTTTACAGTGTGAAAAATGTTATATGACTCTTGAAAATCAGAAACAGAAGGATAACCACAATTGCTGTTTCACGCCTTTCTCCTTAATTAAATGCCCAGAGTGTCATATCAAGTTTTACACACCAGGAGCACTCAATGAGCATATAGGCATGGTTCACAAGAAAGACAATGCATACTACTGCATTTTTTGCAATAAAAGCTTCAATGCCGGTTACAATTTTCATCTTCACTTGGATGAACATCTGTCCAATCAGTAAATATCTGTACATCAAACACAGAGGTGACTAGAATTAATTAATTCTAGAAATGGTTTTAGTTTTCCCCTCCAGTATCTAATCTTAAAATTATCTCTAGTTATTCTTAACATTTGTTCATGGAGAAGATAAAGAATGTTTATCTTTACAGTTATCGTAAGAAAGGATTTTGTTATTTTACTTGTATTTTAAGGAAAAGTAAGTCTACTTTGATTTAATATTTTATTACGAATAATTTTTTATATGATCAATATAATTTTCATAATATTCTTCTAGCATTTCTTTCTCCCTATACTATTTGAAATTTAAACATTACGTGTTGCAGAAACCTGCTCACTAAAGAAATTGTTAGATGTTTCATCAAGTTTTGATAGAGATTGTTCATAAACGCCAATTAACAATTATTGAGATGGAGACACCACCTATGTGGGTATTTAAACCCAAATATGACTGAAGAGTGGGTGTAGAATTGACTGTGATGCCTTCTTGTGTGCTTTGTTACTGACTAGGATTAGCTATGTTTCATTAGTCAGGACCATTATTTATTAAAAGCCCAATGATCAAGGACAGCTGGGTCCAATTTCAAACCATCAAAATCTTTGCTCAGAACACCAGCACAAGTAGAACACTAGGCACCAGATGGCAAATAGATCCTGAGAAAACTCAGTAGATGGTTCGAAACTGGGCCCAACTCCAGCTGTTCCTGATCGTTGGGCTTTAAATAAATGATCCTGACTAATGAAACAGCTGATTAGACCACATAGATCATCACACTCCTTACTTCTCTGTGTTTGCATAGACTATACACAGAATAGACTTCCCATGTAATGTAATGATTTGAAGCCAAAAAACGGGGTGCAATTTTGTGTATAGTCAATGGTGTTAGTTATTAAAAGCTAATTTTTTATATTTAAAGAGTACTAAAATTGCATTTAACTTCCTAAAATAACAAAATAAAAATATTTTTAAAAAATCACACCAAACAAGAAGACAATTATTTGGCTAATATAATCTAAAATAGTTTGTCTTCAGGTAGTTTAGTGTTAGCCTTACAATCTCAAGTTGAACAAGATGAGTAAGGTAAGTAAGAGAACATGTTCTTTGGTGTTAGTAGCAATCTTAAGACCTTCTATAGCTGGTGGTAAGATAAGTCATGTTGTCTGGAATTTACAGTTAAACTTGGCCCTGGCTGGCACCATGGACACCATCAATATGGGAAGGGGGGCCCTATGAGACCCCACCAGGGGTGACCATACACACTGGAAATTCCGGGGAGTTAATTAGCCTCAATTTTTGAGTCTGGAACTATGCGGGAATTTTCAAATTACACTGGGAAACAGGCCCGTAAATCTGCAAATTACACGTTAGTAATCATGGCGAAATCATTAACCTCTTCCGCTGTAACGGCAAAATTGAGAACATCTTCTGCGGCCACGGAAAAATTGAGAACATCTTAAGTATAGTCACTGTGAAATTATGAACGTTTTCCACCTGGCAGGATTGCCAGGTGGAACTGCCTGGTGTTGGAACCGGCACTTCAGGTAAGGCCCCTAGTGGAAGACATCAATAGAAATCAATAGAAAAAATCTATTGATATCTATACTAGATGCTTAGTGATATCAATAGATGTTCATGTATATCATTACAAGTAAATACAAACAAATAGACATCACTGAAAGCTTAGTCAATACATATCACTAGACATCTATAAACATAAAATATATCAATATAGATCATTTGAGCTAACAAATCGTTCATTGATATCAATAGAGAATATTTTTTTAATATGTTAGATGTAAATATAAATCAATAGACACCAATACGGATAAATAAAATGCAAAATATCTCTAAAATGTATCACATATGAACATTATGGATTATACAAAATACCAATGTAAACTTTGTGAAATAAACAGTAATAAAAATGTTATTTTTTGAAAAAAGGAAAAACTCTAGTTCTAGGTCATAGGCGTTAGCTGAGGTACCTAAAACTCAAAATAGGTAATTTAAAAATATATAATTTTAAAATTGTTGTAAAACAGTTACAACTTGTATTAAAACTTATTTTTTAAACTGCCAAAAACTGATTGCTAAACATTAAAATTGTTGTAAAACAGTTACAACTTGTATTAAAACTTATTTTTTAAACTGCCAAAAACTGATTGCTAAACATTAAAATTGTTGTAAAACAGTGTGTTTTAAACTTATTAAAACTGATTTTCTTAAACTTCAAAAAAGTGGTTGTTAAACAATTTTAAAATTGTTGTAAAATAGTTACAGCTCATATTGAAACTTATTTTTTTCAACTCCAAAAACAATTAAATGTTAAACAATTAGTTTAAATTATAAATTACAGTATAAATTGTTTCAATCTTATATCAAAATTGTTGTAATATGAAGTTTAAATCAAAATGTTTTAAAATTGTTAACAATTATTGTCATACAGCTTTCGACAACTTTAAACAATTGTTTTGCTTACTGGGTTATCGTTAGGGATAAAAATCCCTCACAAATTCATTATTGAATTCCTTATTTCTAGAAATCAATAAAAATTGTATTGACACTATTCACATCACCCAAGTAGCAAGAAAACAGTTTGAACTGGTAATAAAACAGTTGAAAAAAGTAAAACATGCTTGAAATGACACAAGTGCCATTGAAAATCTTTTTCAAGTTAAATTATGAGGCCTAACACAGCTTCTCGCATTCAAAATGGCTATCATTACACAGTCCAACATGAAGCGTCCGTTGTGTAATGGTTAAGACAACCGGCTTCCATGCTGGAGTCCCCGGTTCAAATCTTGGGAACCCACTGAACTTTTTGCCAAGAATTTTTTTACTTTTTAATTTTTATTTTATTTTTAGTGCATAGTTGATATTATTCAATGTTTTGAAACAAATTAAAAATGGTTTTTAACAAGCTACAAATTATTTTCAAATAAGCTAATGACTCGCTAATACCTCGCATCACTGACTGGCCATCACAGGCAATTCTTTCAAATTAAACTGTGTGCAGTTTTAAGATGCCTAAGCCTCTTCAGGTAGCCAGTCGTTCCCTTCCTTCTTTCAAATCTAAAATTTATAATTGGCTCGTAGCAAATCTATTTTATAAAATTAAAGAATCATGGACCACAAAATATAAATTGAATTTTGAAAACAAAATTGATTTGTAACTAGTAAAATGTAGATTTGGAAATCTTGACTCTGTTAAACTTCTGTTATTATTATATTTATTTTAATGTAACACGACAATGCCTATTCATATGTAACTACTTGATCAATGAAAATAAATTTTCTTATTCTTATTGTACCTCACATCAGAAGACCAAATGTGTATGCGTGTACGGGTTCGGGGTGGAATTGTTCCCCCCTCTAGGACAAGGAGGCAGGTAGCTTGGCTTGTGTACAGGCTTGAATTGTACCCCCCAGTAAGTAACATCTTTAATCGGCTGTGTGGAGATGTAAAGACTGAATGGATGTCATATTTTTAAATTCAAAACCATCTCAAAATACCCATACCAGTATACTATATCAGTTACCAATGAATTTGTATTACTTATAATAGCAAGGTAAAATTTTATAGACGTTGGAAATTATGTAAAATTTTGTAAAGACTATGTTTTAAAGTTTATACATATGTAATCTGTCGTATACTGTTCATATAAAATATATTGTATAAAATACGCTGCTTTAGAACTTTGTTACAACTTTATTTATCCTTTTTGGGCAATATTGTTTACCTTTAAATAGAGTAGTTAGTCCAAAGGTTTGCACTTGTTGTAAATGCACTGAAACGTTTGTAAATACAAATTTAGTTAGGATAACATTCTCCCTTAACATCATGCTATAACATTACTTGTACAGGGTGAATAAAAAGTCAAGACCCCCCTCTAATATTTTTCTAAGTAAATATACAGAGATATCCTTAAGGTGGTCTTGCAATCTTAGCAGGAAGTTTCATTTTATGAGTTGCCCCCAAAATCCCCCCTTTTTGGGGGACATTTAAAAATTTCAAAATAATAAAATTAAACTTCCTGCTAAGATTGCATGACCACCAAAATAATATCTCTGTATATTTACTAAGAAAATTATTAGAGAGGGGAGTCTTGACATTTTATTCACCCTAAATTACCACAAATGGAAGAAATTCCAATCACATGTTTTGTTTTGTTTACAGCATTGGGTGAAAATAGAGAAGTTTGCCCAATAAGGTAAATGCACCAGTAGCTGACAGTGCTCCAGAAGCTGACAGTTTGAGTTTCTTTACATTATAATGTGGTCTCTTAAAAATATTTACACATGATTGCATTGTTAGAAGAACATATGTTTATTCCTGATTTGATTACAAAAAAATCTGTGAAATTTAGCACATACTCGCTGAATGGTGGTGGTTTGAAAGCAACCCTGTCTGTACACATCATATTTAGTCGATTCCCTTAATGAAACTGTTAAGAAGTTAAGTTTGGTTTTTTGTCATTTCGCAAAATTTCTTAAATATTATTAATGGTTAGGCTCATTATTTTTATCAATTATACCTTTGTTGACAATTTCATGATAAAATTGGGGTTTTAGGGGTTTTGGATTTAAAATTATATCAATGTCAGGCTTTGGTACACAAAAGCCATACAAGTTCCAATAGCTGACAGGGGATATTTGCTACTTGCACAATATTAAATTAGTTTTACCCATTGAAATTTGCATGCTTTTTATAATTTATGTAATCTCACATTTTTTTAAAATGATTTTAATTTTTTAATTAATAAGCCAAATATATTTAAAAAATTTATATTTTTTTAAATATATATAAAATATATATATTTTTTAATGTAAATATTTTTATTTTAAAATATGTAAAATAAATTTTCTTAATAACGTTTTACATGATTTTATTTATAACTTAATTATTAAGTTAGATTTTATTCGTCTTATAAATTATAAAACCCTTAGGTTTAGCAGCTAGTACATTTATAGTTCCAGTGTCAGCTACTGGGACAACACATAGTCAGCTACTGGTACAAGCACTTTTTTCACTGTCAGCCACTGGAACACGTACAAAGGTTGAATTAAGTTCAAAAATGTTATAAAATATATTTTAAAAACCCTTTTTGTGTGACAAATTTGAAAACTACACTAAATTTAGAATCCCATAAAATCCGTAATATCTCTTTAGTTCCTATTTATTCAAAACCACGGATTATTAAGTGCGTATAGTTTCTTATACTGTCAGCTACTGGTGCGTTTACCTTACATACTTT